GTGGAAAAACAAATGGAAATGTCTTCAGAAAGCTTCAAAGTCATTTCAAATGATTAGACATTGAGTTTTGAACTGTTTTTAGAAGATAAGAGATCCCCTTCTGATACACACACAGAGAGCCACAAAGAATTTTTAAAATATCATTGGAAAATGTATTTCTAATTTTGGAAAGTTTGGGACATCCAGGTCCAAGAGCTTCAAGGGATTCCTAATGAATTTGCCCAAATGGCACTATCTAGTGAATTTATTCATCAACTTGTCAAAGTCCTGTAGAAAGAATAAAAGGAAAACATTAGCAGAAAATAACATTTGAGATCATTGCATATTTACTATTAGAAAAACATCCTGCTTCACAGTAGATACCCGATGTGTCAGAATACAATGTGGTAATACATTCAACACCAATGGAAAAGGGGCTGAGAATACATGTAACAAAATTATCTCTTAGAAATTAAGGAAATTACAAGGCTGTGACAAAAAATGCATGAATTTGTACATTTTGTGTTTTGATTATTATGTGGTGGGAACATTTTCTTCTCTTGTCTGGTTGGTTGGTATTTTGTAAACTTTTTGTATGTTTGTTGGTATCTTTTTCTTTAGGGTAGAAAAGTTTTCTTCTCTGATTTTTGTAGAAAATATTTTCTGGGCCTTGGAGCTGAGACTCTTCATCTTCTTTTCCTATTACTCATAGGTTAGGCCTTTTCACTAAATCCCAGATTTCCTAGATGTTGTGTGTTAAAAAATTTTTAGGTTTAACATTTTGTTTAACTGATGTATCAATTTCTTCTTTTATATCTTCTATGCCTGAGATTCTTTCTTCAGTCTCCTGTATTTTGCTGATGACACTTGCATTTATTGTTCCTGTTCACTTCCCTAGATTTTCAATCTCCAATGTTTCCCCATTTTGTCTTTTCTTTATTGCTTCTATTTCTACTTTCAGGTATTGCACAGCTTTATTCATTTCCTTCACCTATTTAACTGTATTTTCTGCACATCTTTAAGGGATTTATTAGCTTCCTCTTTAAAGACCTCTGTTTAATTGTATTTTCTGGCTTTTCTTTAAGGGATTTATTCATTTCCTCTTTAAAGGCCTCTATCATATTTAGATGATTATATTTATGGTCATTTTTTTGTGCTTTGTTTGTGTTAGGATACCCAGGACTTGCTATAGTAGGGTAGCTGTGCCCTAAAGGTGTTATATTTTTGTGACTTTTGTTCATTTTTGGAGGGCCTATAGTGATCTGGTTGGCTTTGACCCTGGGTGTTTCTGCCATAGTAAGTATTGTGATGGGCATAAACTTAAATGTTTCTGGTATGGCAGGCCTCTAATGGCTATCATTGGGTTCTATAACTTAGGATCCATAAGTCTGTATGATTCAGGATCTGCATGTCTAATGAAGATGTGAAGAGGGTTCAGAGGAGAATGGAGGTCCAAAGGGGATAGCAATTTGCTAAGGGTAGCTTGACATGACCCAGAGGACTCAATGAGCAGGGAAGAAGGGTAGTGGAATGAAAGCTAACCTGTATGATTCCAAGTCCACAGGTCTGATGAAGGTGGGTGGAGAGGTGGCAGGAGAGTGGATTAACAATTTTAAAATGACAGTTTGAGGGAAAAAAAATCACAAGTATAAACAGTGTTAATGAGGCAAAAGCATGTAGCTCTATTCAAAAAGTGTTGCTAGATGTGAAAATTATTAACTATTGTTGATATGGCAACACAACATAAACAAAATGCTTCCAGTCCTTCAGGCCTAGTAGAAGTAAAGGGAACTCAAATCAAATTTAACGTTATCATGGATTGTACTTTTCTAGACTGTGAGGTGATCAATATAGAAAGTCATTAAGTTTGCTTGAAGAACAATACAGTGAATGCCATTTATATTCTATTATATAATTACAGAAATGTTTAGAATAACTCAAACCTTGGACATTTTATAAAGAATTTTGACACCTGACATCACCATGCCACATTCGACACTCTCAGTCCCTTCTGGACACACTCACCTACTTACCTCACAGCTATTACTATGGGATACAGTAGTAATATCCACCTGATTCTGACTATCATAACCAAAGCTATCTCCTCTGTCACACCTTCTGCTGCATGAGGTGATGATGCTCTGAAATTAGGAAACCATTGAAGATCCAGTCTTGTGCCAAAATGGTAACACTGAAGTCTTAGCACAGATTAGATGATTTGGACATCACAAAGGTTGTGTGACTGTGATAGAGACTTGTAATCAACTCCAAGTGAGTGGGGATGCACAGTCTGTCCAAATCTCTATTGATGACCTGGCTTAAGCATGAACAAGTGATTTTACTAGAGTCCAAGAAACTTCCCTAGGAAACCAAAGAGGGATGAATTGGATATACCTTCATATAGCATAAGACAGTTAAGTTTAGTTCCCAGCCCCCTTTCAGGTGAACCCAGTTGACTCATGGCCACAGGCAGATACAGGTGGTGCCCCAACGAGGAACCTGAAAACAGGGGGAAGCAACTGATGAACAGCTGTCTTGGTGGAGCTCCACGGAAAATGGAAAAAGAAGGAGAGTATCCCGTGCACTTGGTATGTAGCAAACTATATTGATACTATTGTTAGTGGTAGTTAATTTTGGAGACCGTGTTTGCAGAAAGTGTGTTTAAAGGGAAACAGTCTAGGTCCAAATAGGGTAGATCTGACCCCTATCTCGCCTAGGACGTGACAGCAATTTGGGACCAGAGAATTCCAAATAGACAGGCATTTGCAGCAGCCTAAGAGCTGCTTCAGGTGAGAAGAGCAGGGTTAGAAGGAATTGGAAAACTAAGAAAGCAGGGCACTAAGTTGTAATTATCAATAGCCGCCCACTACATCTCCTAAAGAATGAGATGAAAAGTTAGGTCTTGAATATGAGAGAGAGAAAGAAAGGGTTTCAGAAAAGCAGTTGTCCTCTCTCTGAGCTGTGTCAGCAAAAAAGAATGAAAAGGCTGTTTCAGAGCTCTCCTAGGAACAGGAGGAAAGTCAGCAGACACCCTGAGTTTCTCTTTGGCTCCTAGATGTCTTTCACTGTTATCTGTCCTTGGTGCACCAATGTCCACCTGTGTCAATTGTTTGTTTTTTGTTTTGTTGTCTAAATGTTTGTTCTATGTTGCCTGTTCAAAACACAAAACCAGTTAAAGCTGCTATGTATCCACCCCTTGATCTAGTTTAACTTGGTTTTAAAGGCAGTCTTAATATGCACAGCAGAGGTTGATAAGTTACCCTACACCTATAGCTAAGAGTTGAGCTGAGCTAGAAAAGCTTCTCAAGGAATTTATTGTTGGCATAAGCTGCTTTTAAAAGAGACCGGTAGCCTTTTGGATTCTATAAGGAAGCTAAAAGTTGTTTGTCCAAGAAAAATCTGTGTGGCAAGGTGTCTTTCTCTTAAAATTACAGCTAGAAAAAGCAAGAGATTTTGGGTGGTCTAAATATTTAAGATATGTAGCCACTTCATTTTTGTTTCTGATTGGTTTTAAAAGTGTAAATGTTCTTCATGTCTTGGTTATAGGTTATTGGCCTATAAGTTTTGGGTTTGATTAAAAATTTGCAACCTTGGTAACAGAAAGTTGGCTTAAAACTGGTAACTCAGGGTTGAGGTCATTCAGAAACCAGATGTATAAAAGATTTAAAACAATGTCTCTTTAATGAGATATTAAAAGCTGCTCTATCATGCATTCATAGATAAGAACTGGCAACAAAACTTTGTAACATAAAGGTAATCCACTTGGTGTTGATTTTTAGAGAAAATGGATTGTTTACATTATTTTTGCTTTTGATTTTGCTTCCCAAAAACTATGGTTATACTCTTATGTTGCAAAAGAAACTTAAAAATATAGTTAAACTGCCATTTTTCCATTGGCTGCAGTTGGCAGTTCAATCATGAGTTTGGGAGTTTTTGATTCGCCCATGTTTATAGAAAAGAGATGACAGCAGGTAGAGTTAAATAAAAGTATTTTAAACAGCTGTGATACAGTGCAAGCCTGCAAGAAAGATAATCTTTGGGCCAGGCCTTAGGATATAGGCTGAGATTAAAAACACTTACTTTTAAATTAAGACTATGCACAGAGTAGATGCAGCAGAAGCTTGTGTGACAGACATTCCTTTTGTCCTGACCAGCCCCTAGAAAGGTGTTTTCTAGAATTTGTTTATTGCCTTATTTGTTCTTTAGGGAGGTGTTAGCCTTAGACCCAAAGACATTCAAAACAGCTTATGGGCCAAGAGTTATAGATAATTTAACAATTATGCTGGAAGAAGTAAAATTGTGCCTGCTCCCCTCCATGGC